AAAAGAATAAATAAATCAAACAAATATAAGTGTAAAATGATCTGCCCACAACTCTGATAATTCTATCTTGTTCAAGATCCACTACCAGGTAATATTATTATCTTATGTTTGTACAATCATTCAAAGCTGTGTTTACTAATCAGTAAACAAGTTTGGCCGAATTATCATTAAACATAATTAAGATACAAGGTCACTCAAAGCAAATGGATTTCACATCAAAGTCCAACTCAGTTAAAAGTCTGCAATGTGTTTCTTCTGAAAAATTCAAAGCATCATCCTGCAGTGAGTTTTTGAACAGTGTAGCTGGGTTTCCTGTCACTGTGGGCCTCAGAGCACAGTAGTAGAGTGCAGAGTCTGATACTGCAGCAGAGGAGATTATCAGATTCACTGTTTTGTTATGTTCTGTAGCATTCAGTCGTGGAAAAGGTGGAGTTGCATGGCTCACATCTTTTGATACTGAATATATCATCAGTAAATACTCTGGTCTGGATCCAGGATACTGACGATACCACTGCAAATAGTTCCCAGTATCACTAGATGTGTAGTTGCAGGAGAGAGTAACTTTCTCATCTTCAAGAGCATGAACCAGTACGTTGTCCTTCAGTGGTCCTATTGTCTGTGAAACACAGTTCTCTGTGAAGAAATAAAGATCGCAAAAACGTTTTAGAATATTTTAACTGTATCGCCACTCAAATAAACTTATAATACACATACACCTCACCACAAAGTCAATAAGAAGAAACATACAAATAATTTGGATAAAAATGTGGTTATTTAAACATACCTATCATGATCATAAAGACAGTCAGAGAGCAGAGAAACATCATGGTGGTTCCAGTGTTCAGATAATGAGGAGAGATTTGGTGCTACTGTTCAAGCATGTAAAGACTCCTCCTACATTTGTCAGTGGATCTGTTATAAGAACAGAGGAATGCAGCTTTACTTTTTTTGATGGTCATCAGTTGTAATTGGTTCAGTTAGTTTGTGTGGAGTTTTCTCCACCTTTTACAACCAGCAGTAAATTTGTAGTAATGTCTCAAAAGCATATAGACAAAATACAACACTCAAATCTGTGCTGAATGAATATGTACCTACAGAATAACAGTTTTTCAGAGCCTCTTTAAAAGAGTAAATGAAATTTCAGAATCAGGGACAGAACATCTGTGAATAACAAGATAAATCTGCACTCTCACATTTGAATGTTTTCTTTGCTCGGTGCCTCAATTCAGCTTCCTCAAAAGCATAACTCATTTCAATCCAGCAAATCTGGATTAGACCTGCCCTCTTCTGGTAGACTTCCATCATTACATCTCTGTGAGTTACATAGTAATAACTGTTCCACAATGAAATCTCAATTATAATGATTGTGATAAATTAAAACATCTTAAATCTAGTTATTTTAGCCATAAAATTGTTGTTTTGTATTATAAAGTTATTCATATTATTCCTACATGTTGATTTTTTGATGAAGTGTCTTATTCCAATAACAGATAATTAAGCTTGTTTTGAGAATTAAAGCTGATAATTTTACTTATTTTAAGAAATTACACTTGATATGATCAGAAGGACATTACACCACATAGATTTTCATGGTTTTATTTGTGTATGTCTAGATTCATTCACTTCTTTCATCACTCACTCTTAGACAAGAAGTCCAAATGACATTGATAGTAATGGACATGAACCAGAGGGAGTCTTTGTGGATGGAGCTGAAGAGACCCTGTTGTTGTAAAACAGAGGAGGTGGGCTCACTGTTCTTTTGAGCCTGTTTTAGTGGAGTCGGCTGCTCAAGGAGTCATTTGTGATACGTGGTAGTACTTAAAATAAGTTTTTGCTCTTTGCATTAGCATTCATAGAATTAACCATGAATTTTACATCCGTCAAAAGCCAAAGCTGAACTGTAAGTAGACTTTGCAACAAAACAATGGGTCAAAACAAATGACTGAAAAAGAAGAAATGGATGGTTTTAGAACAGCCAAGTCAAAGCTCAGTTCTAAACTCCATGGAAATGCTGTGGAAGACAGTTAGTAGACAGTACAAACAAGAAAACCCCCAACATCACTCAGCTGAAGGGGTTCTGTAAAGAGTAGTTCTCCAAGTTGATGTAGGAAACAACAAAAAATGCCTTCAAGACATGATTTCTACCAAGATAATAATATGGACTCCTAACAACCATGCAAGACCTCGCAGACCACAAGAACAGTGAGCATCAGATGATCCGTAATTAATGCTTTCATCTTTGAAAGATCAGAGAAAATCAAGCTCCACTCTTACTTTAAACCTGAAAAAGTCCACAGGTGTTACTGTCTAACCTTCCACTGTGTGCTCAGTGATGTGGGTCTGAAATGTGTAGCTGTGAAGAAGCTCTTACTGGGAAAAGGAAAATTAATAAAATCAAACAAAGAAGATGCTGGTTTTCTCAGAATGGTGGGCTGACCACTCCAGAGTCCAGACCTCAGCAGTAGTGAATGTTTTTGGGATTACTTGTATCAAGAGAAGTACAGAATGTAACCAACTTGTGAGACTGAACTTGTATAGATGTGGAAATGTATTTGTGCAGATTTTTTTCGAAAAACTGAAAGTAAGTCTCCAAAGAAGAATGAAGTTTGTAATAACGGCAAAATTTGATAGAATATATACTAAAAAAATGATACTTTTTTATTGTTGAGGCTTCTTTGTAATTTTCTGTGAAATATACACCAATCAGCCGTAACATTAAACCCACCGCCTGTATCTACCTTCATTGTCCATTTTATCAGCTCCACTTATCATATAGGTGCACTTTGTAATTCTACAATTACAGACTGTAGTCCATCTGTGTACTTTGTTTGCCCCCTTTTACCCTGTTTTTTAACGCTCAGGACCCCCACAGGACCCCCACAGAGCAGGTATTATCTGGGTGGTGGATCATTTTGAGCACTGCAGTGTCACTGACGTGGTGGTGATGTGTTGGTGTGTGTTGCGCTGGTATGAGTGGATCAGACACAGCAGTGCTGCTGAAGTTTTTAAAGTCTGTGTCCACTCACTGTCCACTCTCCTACTTTGTTGGTTCACCTTGTAGATGTAACATCAGAAACAATAGCTCATCTATTGCTGCACATTTTGGGTTGGTCATCCTCATCTCCTTCATCTGTGGTCACAGGACGCTGCCAACAGGATACTGTTGGCTGGACATTTTTGGTTGGTGGACAATTCTCAGTCCAGCAGTGACACTGAGATGTTTAAAAACTCCAGCAGCACTGCTGTGTCTGATCCACTCATACAAACACATCACAAACTAATATACCACCACCAGATCAGTGTCACTGCAGTGTTGAGAATGACCCACTACTCAAATAATACCTGCTCTGTGGTGGTCTCGTGGGGGTACTAACGATTCAAATACAGGGATAAAGGGGGCTAATGAAGTATGCAGAGCGACAGATGGACTACAGTCTGTACTGTGTTATGAAGCCTCATTCACAAGTAATGGAGTATTTTATCTCATCTTGTGGTTACTAGCATGAGCTGTTATTCAGTGCTTATGTGTGTGTTAAGTAGTCCCTATGTAGGTAACCTTCAAATAAAGTGTTAACTAACAAACTAATGTCAGGATGTGGTTCTAGAAATGTTCTTGTGTGTACTCACTGATTAAATTCAGGGCAGGTAGACATTCATAAGCCGTAACAAAGAGACACATGATCATAAGTAAGATGAAGACAAACAGCTCCCCCTTATGAAACAAATGTGATTCTGCATGTGAAATGTTTTTGTACAGTGTAGCTGGGTTTCCTGTCACTGTGGGCTGCAGGGCACAGTAGTAGAGTGCAGAGTCTGATACTGCAGCAGAGGAGATTATCAGTTCAACCGTGTTATTCTGTTTATTAAGTGAGATGGACAATCGTTCATCAAGTGTTTCAGCCTTAGTTATGTGTCCAGTGGATTCATCAACCAGGAGCAGAAACTCTGGTCTTGATCCAGGCTTTTGTTGATACCAGTGGAGACTGTTAACATATCCATCATATGTGCAGGACAGTGTGGTTCTGCTGCCTTCACTCACTAACATGCTGGTTTGGTTCTGTGTGATGATGTCGACAGTTTCTCCTATAAAAATGTCACAGAAATATTCACAACTTAGACATTTCCAGACTTTGACACATTGAAAAGACAGAGGTGCTGTTATTTAACTGTAATCCCTTAAAATATGATGTGTGTATGACTCACCAAAACTGGAAACAGCCATGAAAACAGAGATGAAGAGCAGCATGATTGTTCTGAGTGAGAGTTCAGATCTCCAGCATTAGACATTAGTAGCAGTGTTGACTCTCTGTTGTTATGTGTTCTGTATCTCACTAATTCTAGCCCCACCCACTCCTGGTTCACAATCTCATGCATCTCCACTCTGAACTCATTTCATCTGATCATGCAGTGATTGGCTGGTAAATAAAATAACATCTAAATCTCCCGTGAATATGTATGAATATTCCACAGTCAGTGTGATAAAAGACTAACACAGGGCATCAACATACAACAATAATATATGCATGTATTTAGCAGTTTAGATACAAAGAAGAATCAGCAGAAGGAATAAATAAAATGACTCAATGACTCTTTTACACCAAATCATTAAACACTACTATACAGGTTTTATTTTGACAAGTGATGGAAAGTACTTGTACTGTGATACTAAAGCATTAGAAAAAGCAGAATAATCATAAACTTATTCAAAAACACTTTGAAGTGAAAAAATATCATTTTTATTTGTTGCTTTTTAATTAGTACCTACAAAATACTCAAAATATTAAAGACCAAAAATGATTTTCTCTTTTTTAAACTTCAGGTCATCCATTCAATTTCCAAAACGGAATAATATTTGAAATTGTTAAATAAAACAAATTGAAACAAATACAAATGTAAAATGACCTGCCCACATCTCTGATAATTCTACCTTGTGCAAGAACCACTATCAGGTAATATTATTATCTTATGAGTGTACAATCATTCAAAGATGTGTTTACTATTCAGTAAAGAAGTTTGGCCATGTTATGATTGGTTTGGTAGTGAAAAAGTGACAGTGAGTTTTTGTACAGTGTAGCTGGGTTTCCTGTCACTGTGGGCTGCAGGGCACAGTAGTAGAGTGCAGAGTCTGATACTGCAGCAGAGGAGATCGTCAGATTCACTGTTTTGTTATGTTCTGTAGCATTCAGTCGTGGGAAAGGTGGAGTTGCATGGCTCACAGCTTTTGTCGTAGGACTGATCATCAGTAAATACTCTGGTCTGGATCCAGGATACTGACGATACCAGTGCAGACTGTTTGCAACACGATCAAACTGATACTCGCAGGAGAGAGTAACTGTCTCATCTTCAAGAGCATGAGTTTTGTTCTTCAGTGGTGTTATTGACTGTGCAACACAGTTCTCTGTGAAGAAATAAGAATTGTAAAAGTTTTAAGAATTTTATAAGTTTAACGTATCATACACATACACAACTCCAAACAAGTTGATAATAGAAAACATAAATATGTATTTCACATAGATTTAAATGTAGTTAATTATACTTACCTATCATGATCATAAAGACAGTCAGAGAGCACAGAAACATCATGGTGCTTCCAGTGTTCAGATAATGAGGAGAGATTTGGTGCTACTGTTCAAGCATGTAAAGACTCCTCCTACATTTGTCAGTGAATCTGTTATAAGAACAGAGAAATGCAGATCAGGAGAATTAAATAGTCTTCTTTATGAAACATTCTTTTATATTTCAGCTAAAAATATATTATTTCTTTCACTTTGTCAGGGAGGTGTGTATGTGGAACATTTATATATAATTATATGCAATTTCCTACAATCATATCCCTTATTTGCATTAAACACTTGTGAGCATCCTGTTGCGGGTAAGGCTTAAGCTTGTCATATGACTCGCTGTAGTTTATTATATAAGCCTGGCCTTTAGCCTAGAATATTTGTGAGGTATCTACGCAGAGCTACTGAGCATTTCTGTCTGTATTTTGCCTTCTGTGTTTCTCGACCGTATTTTGTTTTTCACTTTGCCTTTTCGTCTTTTCCCTTTTGGATCTGGTTGCTTGATAGTGTTTGTTATGTTTGTCTTTTTCTGTAATTTGTCCTTTTTGGATTTGACCACTGCCTGTCCATTCACTTATTTGTTTACCGTGAGCATCTGGCTGGTTCTGCTCAGTTACATTCAGTATGTCACTTGTCAAATAAGTGTCTCCTCACCGAGACAAATTCCTTTTATGTGTAACATACTTGGTGAAATAAAGTGATTCTGATTCTGATTCAGTTTCTGGTGAGTCGTCTTTCTGCTGGTGCTGTTTGAGGGATTTTGCTGCTTCTTTTGAAATCTATAAGATACACTTTAGAACACAGCACTGTGTCCACACATTAATTCTGCTTAAGTCTTCCTAATGTGTGATAAGCTATTTGGCTGTTTTGCTGGTAGCTTGGTGACCAGCTGCATCTTGAACTGAGGGAAGGCGCTGATGACGAGTAGTTATAAGTAGGGGGAGGGCCTATCTGCCCTTGTTACTGTGCTTCATCTACCTTGCAGGTGTGATTAAAGGTTTCTTCACCCAGACATGGAAGGCCATGCTATCCCATAAAGTCTGTATTTTACCTCCTTTGTCTCGTATGTTTTCTCTGCCTTTTTAATCCAGGTGTAACGTCTCAAAGTGTGTTATTGGGAAACTTACTTTAACAATGGCAGCAAATATAGCAGCGGCTAAACAGACACACAATTCTTAAGCATGTATTGATATGATGACCTCTGTCATCATACCAGCTCCTAAAAAGCAGAAGATCTCCTGCCTGAATGACTACAGACTGGGTGCCTTAACTTCTGTAGTTATCAAGTATTTAAGAGACTTTTACTTAAGCACCTCAAAGTCAGGACCCCCAGGACCCTCTGCAGTTTATTTGCAGTTTGCTTATAGAGCTAAGTCTGTAGATGGTGTCATTAATTTGCCTCTGTATTACATCCTGTAGCACATGGATGGGCCTAACATTTATGTCCATGTGCTGTTTGTCAGCTCTGCTTTCAACGCCATCATTCCTGACCCTCTACTGGATAAACCTTGGCAGCACAATGTCCCCCGAACCCACAACTTCTTGTCCAACAAGGAACAGAATGCCAGGGTGGGTGACCACATTTTTGACCCTCCCTGCCTCAGCACTGATGCTCCACAGGGCTGTGTACTCACTCCCCTGCTCTGTGTTCTCTACACCAATGACTGTACCTGTAACAGTAACTCTGTTAAACATATTAGATCACAGATGACACTACTCTGATCAGCCTCATCTCAAGTAATGATGAGTCCAATACCGTGAGGACTGGCTGGTGTCATGGTGTGGAGCTAATAACCTGAAGCCAAACACATAAAATATTGTAGAGAAAAGTATTGTATTGACTTCAGAAAGAAATCCACCTCATTGCCTCCACTAGAAGTACACAGTTTTATACATTTCTAGGCACCACCATTCAGCAGGATCTCAAATGGGACAGACGCAGCACTGCATTTATGAAGAAGGACCAGCAGCGTCTGTATTTCTCAAGAAATTTGGGGAGACTCTTTACATTTACATTTATGTTTGCTGCTTAATTCTTTTAGCTATGCATTTAGTATATTTGTACTTCTGCACTTGTCTCCCATTGCACATCCTTTATCTCATGTGTAGATAGTTTACTTTTTTCTATATTTATTTTATCGGATTTAATTGGATGTTGAACCTAAACTTGGCAAATAGTTGGCGAATAAAGATTCTGATTCTGATCCACAATATTTATTTACAGAATAACATTGTTGCAACTCTCAGGATCAGATGGACAACTTGAGACATTTCTTATGGCTATTTTTCTTATTGTTATTTTATCTCTCACTTCAGTTCCCTCCTGCAGGTGCATAACTCACCTCAATCCAGCAAATCTACATCAAACCTGCCATCTTCTGGTAGACTTCTATCATTACATCTCTGATTAACTTAAGCATAACCTTTTAACTATATATGATCAAGTTCATTGGCAAACATTGTGTTGGTGGCAAATCAAAAGATCGTAGATGTAATCAATATATCTAACAATTCTTATTTTGAGAGTGTTGTAATAATATGAGTTTATTTAACTCATTTCTATACTAGTTCATGTCATTAAGTGTTTATACATTGTCAGATAATTAAGCTTGGTGTGTGAAATAATGCTGGTAATTTAATTTAAGAAATACTGATTGGAATGAATGAAAAGACCTACACAATATAGATTTTACTTGTCAAGCTAACAGCTAAGGAATCAAACTCGAGTAATCAAATTTCCTTCACATACTCACAAAATAAATGTCTATTGTTATTAACATTTTCTGTAGGGTTAACTATTAAATCTACCTTGTTCAGTGACTATTTTTGTCCTGGTGGTCACCTATTAGAATTATTATTAATAATAATATCTAATACACACACATCATCTAAACCACTTATCCTTCTGGGTCGCGGTGGGGTGCTGGAGCTTATCCCAGCTATCATTGGGCAGAAGGCAGGATACACCCTGGACAGGTTCCCAGTGCATTGCAGGGCAGACAGACAGACAGACATACACATTCACACCTAGGGGCAATTTAGCATGTCCAATTAGCCTGACTGCATGTCTTTGGACTGTGGGAGGAAACCCACGCAGACATGGGGAGAACATGCAAACTCCACGCAGAAAGGACCCTGGTCACCCGGCTACCCACTGCGCCACCGTGCCGCCCAATATCTAATACATTCATCCATTTTAATAATTTACCCATAACATCTACACAACTCAAACAGAAAAGGTAAAAAAAAGGAAAAAAATATAAAGGCATAGACAGAGACTGAAGAGATCAAAAGATGACAGTACTCTGCTGACCGATGCCCAGTCTCTGAGGGGAAAGTTATACAAACTGACAACAAATCTTAGTCACTGTCTAGTGTAGTGAAGCCAGTCATGTGCATGTGTGCATCCTTATGTGGTGTAAATCAGTTGTGGTAAGGGAGCGTCTCCTTTATTGTATTTTTCATTTCATAATCACCAAATGGTGACAGGTCTGGACTGCAAACAGAGCACTGAGACTCTTTTACTGTAGAGCCATGCTGTTGTAATACATGCAGAATATGGTTTGGCATTGTTTTGCTGAAATAAGCAAGGCCTTCCCTGAAAATGACATCTTCTGCATGGCAGCATATGTTTCCAAAAACCTGTATATATTGTTTAGCATTAATGGTGCCTTCACAGATGTGCAGGTCACCCATGCCATGTGCACTAATGCACTCCTATACTGTCACAGACGGGCTGGCTTTTGAACTGTGTGCTGATGACAAGCCAAAAAGAATTTTACATTTTGCTTCATCAGAGCACAGGACAATTTTCCACTTCAACTCAGTCCATTTTTCCAGTTTTTACTTGCATTTGTGAATGCAGTGACGAGTTCACAGACAGTGGTTTTCAGAAGTGTTCCTTAGCCCTTGCCATGATTTCCACTACAGAATCATGTCTGTTTTTAATGCAGTGCCGCCTGAGGGCCCGAAGATCACAGCCAGCCAGTGCTGGTTTTTTGTCCTTGACCCTTGGATACAGAGATTTATCTGGATTCTCTGAATCTTTTAATGATATTATGTAGTGTAGGTCATTAAATATTTCCTATTTTACTTTGGGAAACATTATTCTTAAATTGTTGCATTATTTTTCTGTGCAGTATTTCACAGAGTGGTGAACTCCTCCCCATCTTCACTTCTGAAAGACTCAGCCTCTCTGGGATAATCTTTTTATATTGGAAACAGAGTTGTACAAAAAAGGCCTCTCTTGCTTCAGGAAATCCTAAGGAGGCTTTGCAGGGCAATAAAGGTATGACTTGTGCCCCTCATAGCAGCAGAAGTCAGCTCAATACCAGATGGACAGAAGCTGGGGAATATCACTTAAATGCCTTCATTGCACATTTTGAATGCAACAGCAGGGCTTGTGCTGAGCAAGTCAAATCCTTGCTGGATACTAATCATAATATTACCATCAAACAGTTAGATGTTCTTAGGCTCCAAAAAATGTAATACATTTAAGATCTTAAGCCTAGATAATATCTGTGGTAGTGTATTACAGTGCTGTGCCGATCAGCTGTTTTTACTTTTTCACTTTCTTTCAGTCTTCTCTGGATCATATTGAACCTCTTTTAAGCAAAATGGCACCCTAGCTGTAAAACCCTAAACACTTAAAGTCCAATGACTACTGTCCAATTGCACTGACCTTTTTTAGTTACGAAATGCTTTGAAAGATTAATTAAAGAGCATGTACTAACACATAGTAGGAGGCTACTGGACACCTTGCAATGAGCCTAGCAGGGGAGTGATGAGGGTCTTTATTCACACCTAGACCCTTTAAAAGCTTGTGTCGAGATTTTATTTGTAGATTAATCTTCTGCTTTGAACTCAGTTTGGCCCCATATTCTGGACCAGACTTTTCACTATAGATGATGGCTGGATTCTGTGGATTATAGGTTTTGTCCCCTGTCTTATTTCCTATACCATACCATCCAGCAGGTGAAAGTAGTTCCCTCGCTATCTTATAAAATGATTAACTTTACAAGTTCTT